AAAAAAAAAAAAAAAAAAAAAAAAAAAAAAAAGAGTCCATGCTGGGAGAGACTTTGGCAAGAGGGTAGATGAACTCGGGCGCATTGGTTCTCCTGGGTGGTGGCCTAGACCACAAGGGCAGTGGAGGGGAGAGGCCCCATGCTGGACTGAACTGAGGCTGTATGAAGAGGAAAGCACACAGGGCATCAGCACAAAGCTCCTAGAGTGCAATGAGCAGGGCCTGGGCTCTCAGCAGCCAGTGGGCTGGCTGTGAGGCACCTACAGAAAGCAGGAAACATGAACAGGAGCCTGGGTGAGGATGTTGTGACCTGGACTGCCCCACATGCTCAGAGAGAAGCATTTACCTAGCCACATGCCATGACAGAGCCCATCCATGCACATTACGTACATTCTGCCACTGTCTCCTCCCAACAACCCTATGAGGAAGTACTGTGATTAGTCCCCTTTCACAGATGAGGAATCTGTTATCGAGAGAGAAGGGCCTTTCCCAGGTCACAACCTGGCCCAACCAGCATCAGGTATTAAGGGGCTGGAGCTCAAACCCTGGAATTACTGGCCCAGGACTATCCCCTTCCCACACCAGCACCTCCCAGGGGCCTGGTCTTCCTGGCCGGTGGCTGGGCTGCCTCCTGAGCAGACAAAGGCACTGATCAGATGGCCTGTTTCCTGACTGTGACACAGAACATGGCCTGTTCCTCGGAGGGCTGAACACTGCCAGCATTGTCTGCATAGAGGTGTTGGGTGCTAGGCTGCACCACACCTGTCACCTGAGCTCTCACCCAGCCTGGCATTACTTCCCAGACATCATAACCCAGGTGCCCAGGCAGGACTGCTTAACCCGAGGGCTAATCCCCACAATGGGAGCCACAGGGCAGTTTGAGATGGGATCCAGCAGTGCCCCTTCTCATTTGCCTATGGCCACAAGTGACTGAATCCTCCTGGGCACAGAAGAACCTGGAATAGGAGTAGCTGGGGTAGGTAAACAGGCACGATGGTCTTTTCTCGTGGGGGTGGGGCAGGACCTTCAAGGATTGTGTCACTGATTGACACCTCTGTGGTCAGGTAACCCTGCTGAGTGCTTTTGTGCCCCTGACCCATTACTTTCAACAGGATTTTCAATCTCACTGAGGCCTGGGATCAAAGGCCACACAGCTGCAGTTCTGCTGGGCTCTGGCTTCTAGCCTACCCTGCCTGGCCATATGGGCCATTCTCTCACTACCCTTCTCTCTCCTGGATTTTGGAAAGCTGTAAGGAGGAGGCCATGCCTTGCTGGCCAAGGCAGGGCTCACACCCAGGACAGGCCTCCCTCTGTAGAGCCAGCTTGTTGCTAGGAGACAGGAAAGTACAGGTAGAGATTGGGGCTAGATCCCGGGAGGCAGGCAAGATGCCAGGCTTTCTTGGAGCTGTGTGTAGCCTAGGACAATGAGGGCTTTTTCTCTCCTTTGGCCCTGCTACTACCTTGCTTGGCAACTCTTTGCACCCTCCTCTTGAGTTCCCTCTTCCTCCCTGGCTGGGTTGGGAAGAGGGTGTTTCTGCAGCTCACAGTCTCCTGGGATCAGCCAGAACCAGTCCTTCTTTCAGGATGGAAGAGGAAGGAGCATTTCCCCGGCTGGGACAGGACCTCACAGGGAGGTCTCTCATGGGAGAACAAAAGCCACCCAGGCCCAAAAGGAGCCACCAGGCCAGGATCCTACTCAGAAGCCTCCATACACACTCTGCACCTTCTCAGGTCCTCTCTCTCCTCTAGGCTCCATAGAGGAGGCAGGTTGCCATGGCATTTGTCACCATGCCACCTGCTCAGCCTGGAGTCCCACAGGCCTGTCCCCAGGTGGCCAGAGGCTGCTACTTGGTATGGCAAGTGGAAAGGAAATCCTAAGTCATGGGGAGTGGGACTAGTAATCTCTCATTTCATTTACTTTGAGAGAGCCTGGCCCCACCTCACTCTACCTCCCTCCATTTCCCCATTTTACCCACCCATAACAACCCCACTCTACCCACCCCTTTGACTGGTCCCTCACATGCTCAGAGTTTCCAAGAGCCTATAATAGGGATCCAGGGAACAGGAGAAATAAAATCAAACAGATATCCACTCAAATCTCAGCTCTGTCACTCTCCAGTCACATGCTTTGGGCAAGTCATGCTACCTGTCTGAATTTTAGCATCCTCATCTGTGAATAGGGCGAGGATAAAATGCGCCTGCTATGGTTAGTGTGAGAATAATTTGAAAAAATGCACTACAGGGCTTGGCTCAGTGCCTGTACATGAGAACACTCAAAGAACGGGAGCAGCCAGAATTCTGGAAGAAGATAATTGCACTATAATGTGATCTTCAATACAAAAACATGTTCAAGGCATATTGGTGGCCTCAGAAGGGTGAGGAAAAGCTTCTCCTACTCAGAAATTTGTGTTGGAACTTGAAGGATGAATAGAAGTTCAAAGGTGGAAGGAGAGGAGCACCCTGGGCAAAGACAGTGAGTAATTGAACAGCATAGGTACTAAGAAACCGGGGTACCTGATGAAGGCAGAGGTGCAGTGGCAGTGAGGCTGTAGAAGGAGGTGGGGCCAGGCTGCTCAATGCCACTTAAGACAGGGTCTTGTCCTGTGGGCAACATGAAGCTATGGAAGTGGGTTTTTTTTGTTTGTTTCTTTTGTTTTGTATTGTTTTTGCTTTGTTTTGCGATACTGGGCATTGAATCCAAGGCCTTCACACTGAGTTGCATCCACAGCCCTTTAAAAAATGTTTTAACTTTGAGACAGGGCCTCACTAAGTCACTAAATTGCTCAGGCTGGACTCCAACTTGTTATTCCTGCAATCTCAGAGTGCTGGGATTACAAGTGTGAGCCACCATGTCTGGTAGTGGGAGTGGTTTTAAAAGGAGAGGGGCACTACTGGATTTGTGTTAGAGAAAGACCCTGGGTGGGTACTGTAGTACTCTGGGAATGGATGAGACTCGAGAGAGGGAGGCTAGTTAGGAGGTTACTAAAAACTCCCAGGGGAGGAGTTAGGAGGCCCTGGGCCTTCTCGAAATTCATCAGCGGTTGCTGATTAAGTATAAATAAGGGCAAAATTCTCGATGCTGTTTCTCACGTCTCTTCCATCTACATCCATCTAAACTCTCTCTGTCTGGTGACCTCTGGGAGGGTCCTGCTCAACCTGTATGTCCATCCGGCTCTTCTCTGTAGCCTTTCCACCAGGGACCTTCTCATTCTGCCCACTTAGCAAGTTTTACCTAGGATGAAACTGAAGAACCAACCCCACCCCCGAGGACATTCATAGGAACACATATGATCAACATGCAGCTGCCTGTCACACAGTGGTTGAGACACAAATGCAGGATCAAGCAGTTAGACTAGATGGTCTCTACAATGCCTCTGGATCGAGCAGTCACCAACTTTAGGGCTACTCCTGATATGCTGGACTTCTAATCAATGCTCTCTACCTCTTCAATTACTAGTGTTCCCAAGTGACAGTTTCCACATCTGTAAAATTAAGAATCTGTAATCCTCCCAGAGCATTTGACTGCATCAGCAAGGCATGGAAGAGAAATCAGAGGCCCTGGCTGTCCTGACCTTCTAGCTAAGTGGAAGTTCCTGAATACACTATCAATGTTTTTTTCTTCAAAGCACTAGCCATCAAAAAAAGAAGAAATCAACCCTAAAATCCCAGGGAACAAAACAGGCTATGTCTGATGTCTCAAGCCACTGACAGCCATGGAAAGCATCACACTGCAGCTAGCTGAAGACAGGGAGGGATCTTCTCTCTGCTAAGGAGACACCAGAACATGGAATGTTCAACCAAATGGCAAGAATATCAGATGCTCTCAGAACGCTAATGCAAAAAGAGGTTGGCAGGGAAGGTGCTG